AGAGTGTTGTGGCATCACAGCTCACAGCAACCTCCAACTCCTGGGCTCAAGCGAGTCTCCTGCCTCAGCCTCCCAAGTAGCTGGGACCACAGCTAGAATTTTTTGGTTGCAGCCGTCATTGTTGTTTGGCAGTCCCAGGCTGGATTTGAACCCTCCAGCTCAGGTGTATGTGGCTGGTGCCTTAGCCACTTGAGCCACAGGTGCCGAGCCAGAACTTGACATCATTATGCTGCCAGAACCCACCAGGAGACCACCCACCTCTCAATTTCCTAATGGATAAATAAAAATGCCTTTATGATTTAAGGCACTATTATTCTAATAACATTTACCTAAAAGCATTCCTGATAAATCTAGCTCCCAATCAATTCTCCTATCCCTTCCACTCAAAACTCCAGACATAAGAATGCAGTATTGATTTTTGTATTTCATCTTAAATACAAAAATAAGCTTTAGACTATTCACACAACCAGTAAAAATATTCAAATTACACTTTAATTAAATAAAAACAAATTCTTAGTACCATTTTATTTCTGTCCTTTAAATAATATCCATAATCTTCTTGTTTCTTTTTTTTAGGCCCTCTATATGAGATTACTTTTTCCAAAACTCTCTGCTGAAGAGGTGCTATGACATTTTGGACCCACTTTTTATGTAACAACTCTTTTCTTCTTTCCTTATAAGTATCCAGATGCTGAAAATATGTATCCAGACTCTAATGAAGTGATACAAACATAGAAAATAAATTATTAAGAAATGTTTCATTGATCACCATTTGAATAAGAAAAAAAACCACACTTGTTCCCCACTTATAAGCTCTCAGGCAAAATCAGGTTACAAAATCCTAGTATAAGACAGTGTTCATTAGAGAACCTGAGAGCACAGCGCAGGTATAACTCAAAGTTCTAAACCACAACTGCGCCTTCAGATGAAAATGCACCTAACTCCTGAATCAGACAAACCCATTCCTAACTCATGAAATTCTGGGTTCTTTTTAGGGATTTTGTACCGTTCCTTGGTCACTCATTCCATGTTTAGCTTTCATCATCAGGAAAGTCCGTGACAAACTTGGTAGAATAGAAAGAGCACTAGACTGGCCTGGACCCCTTTCTCACTCCCATCTACAAAAGGAGGGTAATCCCACCTACTTCTTCGGATGCTCAAATGGCAATATATGTACATTTCTGTCATAAATTGTAAACATAAATGTCAAAGTATTATTATAAATAACACTATCCTTCTCATTGAAAATAAACCCCTCTTAAGCTCACTAATTCCATAGGGACTAACAGTTACTGCCTGGTCATTAATCTTAAATACTAATTCGCTTCTGGTGGTTTTCTATATTCCCCACTGCAATATGGGAACATATGAGAAAGAAGCAAGCCTCAGTAGGACAGAATTTCCATTCAGAACCAGGACACAGGGAAGCAGTTAGAACCGTTTCTCAGATTCTTCAGGACAAATCCAAGCAGGATTCAAAACCTCTTAGTGATCTCGCAAGGAAGTGGCATAATCTCAGATCTACATAGCACAGACAAGTACCCATTCTGCAGGGAAGCCTCATTCTCCCTGCAAAATGAGTCTTTTTGACACGGCAACATCACTCTCACCCCCCTAGATCACACTTAGACACCACACGGTCTCTAGCCAGCTCTCACCTTTACAACATAATTTTCTCTAAATAAGATGGTATACACAGCTTCATCGATGTCTTCTCTAGCTAATACCTGAAATCACAGGATTGAATATTAAGACATAAATCCTGAACAAATAAACTAGAATGAAAAAAATTCTGTGTATTCTACCAATAATTTTAGTGTAAATCTAATTCTGTATCTCAAAACACATTTTGTAAGTTTTTATTATAGAAAATTTTAAAAATCATTCTCCATGAGCCCATCACCCATGTTCAACAATTATCGACTCAGAGTCAATCTTATTTCATTTAAATTTGTATTTTTTAGCCCCCTACCCAAACACCAATACTATATTATTAAATTATATATATATATATATTTTTTTTTTTTTGAGACAGAGTCTCATTATGTCACCCTCAGTAGAGTGCCATAGCATCACACCTCACAACAACCTCAAACTCTTGGGCTTAAGCGATTCTCTTGCCTCAGCCTCCCAAGTATCTGAGACTACAGGCGCCTGCCACAATGCCCAGCTATTTTTTGGTTGCAGCCGTCATTGTTGTTTGGTGGGCCCAGTGTATGTGGCTGGCGCGCTAGCCGCTGAGCGACTGGTGCCGAGACAAATCATATTTTTTAATGTACAAAGAAGCTTATTAATTAAAGGGACTCTCTCTGAAAGGAATTCTCCCATTCATTCATATAGTCATTCATCCATTAAGTACTTTTTTTTTTTGGAGAGAGAGAGCCTCAAGCTCTTGTCCTGGGTAGAATGCTGTGGCATCACAGCTCACAGCAACCTCCAACTCCTGGGTTCAAATCTCCCGGGCTCCTGCCTCCACCTCCCAAGTAGCTGGGACCACAGGTGCCCACCACAACACCCGGCTATTTTTTGGTTGCAGCCATCATTGTTGTTTGGCGGGCCTGGGCTGGATTCAAACTCGCCAGCTCAGGTGTACATGGCTGGCGCCTTAGCTGCTTGAGCCACAGGCGCCAGCCTAGCCGCATTAGGTATGTTTTAAAGGGCATTTCCTACCTTTGCCTAGGTCTCTTTGTAAATCAAAACTACAGTAAGTTTGAGTTAGTTCAGCCATTCCAGAGCTCAGACCTAGTTAGTGGCAGCTAGAAACATAGTTAGATACTATCTCACATGTAGGGACTTGCTGTTTCCATTATGAATTTGGGCATAGCTGATGCACTGAAAAATCACTTCAGGGATTTTTTAGTTATAACACTATGATCTGATCTACAGCTTTTCTTCTTATAGGAACTAAGTAAGAACCAATGAAAAGGCAATAAAATTCCAATATCTGGAAGAGATATACTATTGCCTAAAAAAATATTATCTCTAGTGAAAAATGACACAGGTTCTTAGGACTATGATATTCCAGCTTGGCTCTTCTTTCTGTTCTGCCACACTGAATGCATCAAAACAAACTGAACTCCAAACTGAAATAACCAAATTCTCTGAAATAAGAAAAATCCCAAAAAGATTTGTATTTTTACCCATATATTTAACAGCTTCATCTGAAATCTAAAATGATTTCAAACAGATACTCCAATCTTCTTCAAAATAAAGCACTCTTTACAATACAAACAGACTTATATTGTTTTAGAATTTTCCTTACTGTCCAAAATCTCCACCTTCTCAGGCTTATTTTAAGACGGCAACTGGAGAAGTATGTATGACAGTTAAACGTGTTTCCTGATACTCCAATATAATTTTAGAATCAATCAATTGATTTGAAAAGACAGAAAACATACATGTTGGCAAGCATCTTGGGAAAACCTTTCTTTTTTTTTTTTTTTTGAGACAGAGCCTCAAGCTATCCCCCTGGGCAGAGTGCCATGGCATCACAGCTCACAGCAACCTCAAACTCTTGGACTTAAGTGATTCTCTTGCCTCCCAAGTAGCTGGGACCACAGGTGCCTGCCACAACGCCCGGCCATTTTTTTTGGTTGCAGCTATCATTGTTTGGCGGCCGGGGCTGGATTCGAACCCGCCAGCTTAGGTGTATGTGGCTGGAGCCTTAGCCACTTGAGCCGCAGGCACCAAGCCAGGAAAACCTTTCTTAAAAGATATTCTAGGGGGTGGTGCCTGTAGCTCAAAGGAGTAGGGCAGGGGGCTGGCCCCATATATCGGAGGTGAAGGGTTCAAACTCAGCCCTGGCCAAAAACTGCAAAAAAAAAAAAAAATGTTTAAGATATCCTAGGCTCGGCATCCATAGCTTAGTGGTTAGGGCACCAACCACATACGCTGGGGCTGGCAGGTTGGAACCTTGCCTAGGCCTGCCAAACAATGACAACTACAAAAAAAAAAAACAGCGATTGTCGTGGCGGGCACCTGTAGTCCCAGCTACTTGGGAGGCTGAGGCAAGAGAATCACTTAAGCCCAAGAATTTGAAGTTGCTGTGAGCTGTGACACCATGGCACTCTACCAAGGGCAACTTAGTGAGACTCTGTCTCAAAATGAATAAATAAATATTATAGTAAGATTATCAGCCGATGTTATATACACTTTTGGTGTATTGTTTCAGATTCTCAAATTATCTTTTTTTGCTTGAAGAAATAGATTTTTGTCTTTGATGGCTCCTTCTTCCTAATTTTGCCAGAAAACGTAAGGAAGATGCAATTTGTAGCAGCGCTCTGAAATCCACAGCCTTCTGTGCACGAAAACTGTCTCACTACTCTTCCGCTGTGGCAAAAGGGGCAAAATAAAGGAAATTACCAAGAGTTTCTGTTTTTACAGTGAGGCAAATCATGGAATCCACAATAAAATTTTCTTTATGGGAAAATTATTCCCAGACGCTAAGTGTAAGGAACCAGCCGGCCAGCCCAGGCCTGGCTCTTCCCGCAGGGCAGCACGCACGGGTCCCTGCTTTTTTCCTGCTCAGCTCACTGAGGCCAGTGACAAGACCCACTCTGGGCCAATTCTGATCCGGGGGCAGGGGTGGGGAACCCGCCGCCTTCTGACTTCAAGATTGTTCTTTCTTAAGCACCAGAGGAGGCAGGAAAAGCTTCATCTTTCGCTGCTGCACCCCTTTTAATAACATAAATTTGGTTTCAGTCAAAAGGCCACTGGTTCCCCACCAATCCTAGGAATATAATTGTGACGGAGGCAAAATAACCACTAGATGCAAGGGGCTGGTGTCCCCACGCCAGCACGACTTGTCAAGATGACACCTTATTTTACCTCCATTAAAGAAACGGTCTCGGGCTCTGGCCATTCTTTTAATCTTTCCAGCCTGAAGTAGCTCGATGTTTTCGCGGCAGCCATGGACAGCAGAGACCCTGGAGAGAGAGCAGCGGAGCCGACTGACCAGGACATTACGGTTGGGACGGGCCTGCGGCGCAGGCGGCGGTTCCAACCCCCTCGCTCGGCCCGGCAGGGAGCCAGGCCCGGCCGCGCCCTCCAGCGGCGGCGGTCACCCCTCCTGGGCGCCCGGGCCGCGTCGCCGAGGGCCAGAGGGGCGACGCGGCCAGCCTGGAC